CGCTAAATATATATCATCTCTCGAAGGAGTTGATTTAGCGACGCGTAAAGCGCCCTTAATCTCCGCGGAGATTTGCGGCTGTCTCGGCAAAATTGGCGAGCGAGTTCTCTCCCGCACGCGCGAGAGGAAACTCCGGGAGCTTCCTCGCTTTTATTACTTTCTCTCTTTCCCTCCGACGGCTATCGTCGTTGATTCTTATTTCGTCTTCTTCTATCCGCCGCTGCTCTCTTCGTCGCGATTACTACAACGCAATCTTTGATTGAAACTTCTAGCGAGTTTTCTCTTCCTTCTTTTCCTCGTCGACCGATCATCGTTCGAAATTGACTTTGACCGATCGAAATAACGATTTTTCGCCGCTAGCGCAGAGAAGCCCGCGACGCACCTTCGTTCGTCAAGCTCGCCTTGGAAAATTTCCCTTCCCGTAATTATGTCCCATAAGCAGTTTCCAAGTCGCCTGACGGCCGAACTGATTAGAGGGCGAGAAAGTCGATTGGATTTGGCGAGCGTTGAAATGCCACGCTCGACAGGCAAAGTGCTGACCTCGCGACGACGCGACGGCGCCCGACAAAATTGGAAATCACTGGGACGTGGCTTGTCCTCGACTCTCTCGCGCCTGGATTCTCGTATTTGAATGCGAATTTGAAAAAAAAGAAGAGAAAACTCACTTGGGGTTATTCCGTGCAAAATTGAATGCCCGCGCGCACCTATCGCTCGACGACCGACTTCGATTTCCGGCTTTGGTGTCGAATTTTTCAAGTCGGATTCTTCCGGCTTCGCGCCTGCTGCGCGCAGGTAATGGGCCGCGTAATCCCTTGTGAATTTTCGCGCATCGTCGTTTCGTATTGCAGAAAGCGACAACCGCGAGTCGCACTCTGTTATTGGAAAGAAGACAGATCGAATAAAATTTAGTACCAGCTTCGGATAAGTAAAAAAGAGTGCCGGATCGGCGACGCGGCGCTGTCCAGTGGTCAGTCCAAGCGGACGAAATCGAGTTAGCGCGCGCGCGGCGGTAGTGCGACGATGCGCCAGCAAATACAATTGCGGAGTAGCTCTTCATTAATTCGGCAGCGTCGGTGTGGCTAATTGCAAAGCTGTAGATTCGACGCGAGTGCTGCAGTTGTGCTGGGCTGACTGCCGGTCGATTCGTCAAGCGCGCCTCCGACGCGTCTGATTTGCCTGCGTATACGCGTACGCGACGTCGCGCCTGCTTCGGCACTCGCGCGCGCGGAGAACCACGGCAACAGATGCCGTGATTTGTGGCTCTGACCTCGACAACGCCCCCGAATATCGTGATGCACGAGCGCCGATAAGCGTCTGTCGATCCCGCTTGTCTTCCATTCTAACCCACGAACCGGCGAGTCGTATAAATTTCGATGAAAAATCAAAAGCAACACCGAAAACCAAGGAGTCTGACCCTTTTGCCCGATATTAATGACCGTTGGCTGATAATGGACTGTGACGTGCTCGAGGGCCCCTTTTTTTCGTTAGTGCCAGGTAGGCGCGTTAAAAATTGAAGCGTTTAGGAAGCTCTCCGAAAAGGCTTTTCGAGCTACCACGCGAAGTGGTTGGAACTGCATTCGCGTGACAGCTAGAAATGTCTTCAGAGGAAAAAAGAGGCAAAGTAAAGCGAGCTTCTTTCTGCGTTTTTCTACTTGCGACTCCGTAGGTTGCGCCCTATTAAAAGCTTCCTTTCTTGCCGCGGGTAATGCAGCCGCGGCGCAGCCGGTCAGGTTACCTGCGTATACCCCGCGGAATTCCTCTTCTCATATTTGGCTTGCAACAACCTCGAGCTTACCTCTAACGGTTACGAGCCGTGGAGCGCCGATATGGGACGTCATCGTGCACTAAGCCGGCCTTTACTTTTACACTCGACCCGCTTCGCTTTCTTCTCTCCCTTTCCGACGATTCTACCGCGGAAATTAGCGGCATTAGCGGCTGTCGTCTAATACAGTTGGCGCACGTGTGTATGCCCACAGCTTGCGAGTAGCCGGCGACGCTGCCTGCGCGTACTATGTATGCAAAACATGCGGCTCTCCCGCCACGACGATCTCGCTTCGTTTCGCTGCTGGGATTTGCTCCGGGAAAATTGATAGGATCAAGGTTATTTCTGGAATGAGAACGAAGAAAAAAATCCATTTTCACTTTTCCCCAACTCCTGAATCTGCCACTTTGCATATTTTATCGTTCGCAAAATCCACATCAGAAAGCGTTGCGGAGATTCATCTTGGCTTATGCTAATTTCAGCGCCGTTTACATTGAGATTTTTCAATACACGGAGCTTTTATAATGAAAAGAAACGAGTCGGCGATCGTTACGCTAAGCGGAACAAAGAGAAGAAGCTTCGAAAGAAACTACTTCGGATTTTGTGAAGCGCAGTCACAGTGGCCGGGGCAATAGTTGTATAGCGCGTCAATCTGCTGGTTGGGTTCGATAAGCAACAATCAAATGCAGGATCGCGCGACGCAACGAAAGCCCGCACACGCGAGAGTCAGCGATGCGAGAGTCGCGGCGCCCCATTGGATACCGAAGCATTATAACGAGCCGGCTCATGCGCCAACTAAATTCGCTGTCATTGAGTGGCCGCAATAAAGCATGCAAATTTTACGCGCCGCTCTCCCGGTAGTAACAGTCAAATTTCATGGCGCGGGCTTTGCTGCCTCGTCATTTTGCCGTACCTTATATTATTTGCTGTTCAGCCGCTGCGCCGCGCGCATCGACCATTGCCTCGTAAAAATTTGCACTTCCATGGGAAATTATGTGCGTCGCGCTCGTAGCATCGCGGTTACGACCGATGCATCCTAAATTCATTCTCCGACGTGCTCCTCTACTTGCGCCCGTTTATTGAATATCGGCACGCCTCACCGACCTCGCACTAAATCTACTTATCATCGAGCCCTTTCTCCTGGCAGTTTGCTCGTGGTTCTCAGCGGCGACATTCGAGTAGCCGCGCGAGGCTCGTGCTGCCTCGCCGAGTTAAGCGCCAAATGAAATACGATGATCGACGGGCGCGCAAACGCTCGCGCGCTTTATCATAATTTTTTTGCCGCGGGTGCGCGACTGTCATCGCGACTCATCAACATAATGGGCACAGAGAGTCGGCGCTGCGCGCGTCTTGTTTGGCCGCGCGCATGCAACTCCGCGGCAGATTGATGTGGCGCGCGTGCTACCGTCGCTGCAGTCTGCATAAAATTTGGAGGGGCGCGTCGCCAACTGACGCTTTTTCCCGGCCGCGACCCTCCTTTTTCACGCGCTTTCGTTCTTTATTCCGCGGTGAGCGCCTTTTGATGCGACCGCTCTTTCGGTCGCTCGTTTTTATACATGGATCATCGGCTCCTTTTTCGCCTTCGCATTTTCCACTTGCAGTTTCATTTGAATTTTTCCCGTTGCCCATTCGACCGAATGTTTGACGTTTAATACGGAGTGATATTTGCTGACGCTATGATTAGCTAGCCGCTAATAATTAACGTCCGTTACAATTAGCGCTGATGCCCGCAATACGTACACGCGCGGTATCAAAACAACTTAATAAATACATTGTCATGCCCGCTGCAATTTCATTCGAAGCATAATGAACGATGCATTGTTCGGACATTGCTTTTGATAATTGAATATTCGAAAAGACTGGCAGACAGCTCGGACGGAAAGAGAGAAAAAGTGGAAAGAAAAATAATCGTGCAAGCACTAACTATGCGTTGCCTCCCTTTCCAGTTCTGTAGTAATAACAACTCGATAATTAACCAGCAAAGCCCGCGGGACACGACTCACCCATTGGTTATTATCAAAGTACGAACTAACGCGATACTTTATTACTCACGCCCAGTGTAAATATCGCCTAAAGCTTGCATTCGCGAATTTGTTTATTCGCAAAAATCAGGATAACCAATTCCGAGTACGACAGTTAATGCGCGCCAGAAAACCTGTCAGCCGGGCATATTTATGTGAATAATAGTCAGCTCTTTTTTTGCAAAGCCTAACTGAAAAGAGGATGAAAGAAAATGAAAGATGATGGTAGCAGTAGAGGTAGGCTTGTCATAAAATATACTCAAACTTTTAACGAGAGTGCGGCCATGTAGATCGAACGAGTGCGAGATCGTTTCCGGTGCAGTCGAGTTTGACGATGTGGTTATTAATGGAGACTGATCCTCGATCGGTTAGCTGATCCTCTCTCTCTCTCTCTCTCTCTCTCTCTCTCTCTCTCTCTCTCTCTCTCTCTCTCTCTCTCTCTCTCTCTCTCTCTCTCTCTCTTTGCGGCCCGACACTTTCGTTTGCCGTCGACGTTAGTAGACTTGATTACGGGCTTCCGCGTGATTGCACCTGCTATCCGTCGGCCTTTTTGTTGTGTTGCGCTACTTCATACTCCTGTTGCTATTTTTTCAAATACAATGATTTCTCGTCGTGCATTTCGTTGCAATTTTTCTGGCGAGCAATGTTTTCTGGATTCACAACAATGTCGCATTACTGTACATATCAGCAAAGCGAAATAACTCCTCGTACATGCAGACGTCGGACGTTTCAAGTTTGCGCGAAACACCAATAAGACACAGAAGAGTCTTGGGTGCACTTGGGGCATAAATTTTGGCGACGAGTCAAATTCGCAAGCGCGAGCGAGGGCGTGGAAAAAGGTGCAAGAGAGAGAAAGCGAGAGCTCGGTCGGTTTAATCAACTCTCCTTTTTGTCTCGTAAATCTCGCTTTTGGCGGCTGCCCCCCCCCCCCCTTGCACGCCGGTAATACCGGTGTCAGTGCGAGGCTGTCTCAACTTATTAGACTTATTGCACGAATACCCATCCTCCTTGTCTCTCGTGCTTCCTATGGCCGTGCGAGGATTAAGAGCTGCCATGCATGCGCCGGCAGCTGCATCGCGCGATACGTTTCTTGACAGCGATCTGCCACGAAAATAAAAAAAAAATAGTCGACGACGACTCTTGTAAATTAGAAAACGACGCGAGTGCAAAGACATCCAATGGAAGTATTAACGATCGCTTGCTCTGTTATTCAACAGCGAACCGATTGGTAGCGGTGGAGATAGTGCCGGACAAGCAGACGGCCGTTAAACAAGGGGAAGAATTGAAGATAGTGTGCAAAGTACCGATGGAGTTGCAGGTCTGCAGATTCGTCATACCTCGCGAAGGTGATTCTGGTCTGATCCTCAAGCCAGGACCGCAGTCCGAGGATGGCATCGATTACTTCGGTGAAGGCCTGGAGAAGGGTTACTGTGGCATCAGACTAGCGAAGGTCAGGGAGAACGACGACGGCAACTACACCTGCGCCATCACGCCCAAAAACGCACGTACCGAGAGCGTCAACAGCGTCCGCGTTATCGTTGCCAGTCAGTCACTTTTACTTGCAATTATCGTTCGCTAGTTCACTTGCTTGTTTTCCGACTGTTTTTCTCATTGGTATCTGTTTCGCGCGTTTAGGGGAACCGTCGATGCCCACCCTCGAGCTCGCGAAGGACAGCTTTCGAGCTGGCGAGAAAATGGATATCGTCTGCCACTCCGACGGAGGAAAACCACCGGCCAATCTCAGTCTCTTCATCGGTAAGTTTTCGATCAGTCGCGGCAAGACTCAGCAGCGGTCACTTTATCGACCATTCTGCTTTGATCATCCAGATAAGGAGCAGATCCAATACGACGAAAGGCCATTGGTTTACGGTCGTTACGATGAGTCTGTTGCCATGCTCAAAACATCTCGCGCTGTCTCGATAGAGGACCACGGAAAAACTCTCACTTGCACTGCATCCCACATCGCTCTCTCGACACCCAAATCCGCCAGTCAACAGATCAACGTGGAGTGTAAGTATTCCTGATGCAAACATTACCGCAGATCAATATGCACTGCGAGAATTCAAAACTGACCGTGCTTGTTCGCTTGCAGTTCCACCCGAAAAGCAGGAAAAGATCGAGCGTTTTGGATACACCATCGGCCAAGCCGGTAAAGTCAATGTGACCGTCCGTGCTAACCCCATGCCTGCTTTTACCTGGGTAGTCGGCGAACAGAGAATCGCAGCCGGTCAGCCTGATAATACTCACCGTATCCAGACGTCCAGCCCCGTCGATATGGTAACTTAGCTTCGCTATCATACTTCTGTCTACATGAACATATTACTACAAGTTTTCTTTACTTTTTTATTCGATTATTTATTTTATTTTTTCCAAAATAAATTCACTTTGTACAGCGATCAGTCATTTTTTTTTCTTAACAGGGTCACGGATTCTGGGGCGTTGAGTTCCTCATTGATAGTGTTCAAAAATCCGACACAGACAAACCCTATATTCTGGAAGCCGTCAACAGATTAGGAACCGAAAGTTACAGAATTATCCTTTCGTCTGCAACTGAACCAGCAGGTAGACTTCAATCATAAATTTATTTTTTATGTTCATTCATTTCATATTTGTACAGAGAAGTAATATGCGTACGAACTTAACATTAATACTACATTTTCATCTAGTAGCTTTATATTTGAAAAAAGAACTTGTGTTTAAAATCTTAAAATAATACACATTTAATTAATATTCTGTTCAATTATAAATCATCGACACTCTCTGATTGTGACCATTGTGTGTCAGCTTTCCGTCTTGTTGCTTCAACTGGTAATCTGATTAACCTATTATCTATCGTTGATTGCACATGGGGATTTTCTCTTAGTTGAATATATTTCACAGCCGAGTCGTAAAGAAATAAAATAGGCACGCACGTCCTATAAAAATGTATACAGAATTTTTCACAGTCACATGTCGCTGATTAATACAAGCCACTATGTTTAATTATTATTGAGTTAAATATAATATTCTAATGGCAACCAAATTCACCGCATGCTCACGCAGGACCTTTAGGTCGATTTAATCAGTTCTACGGTAAGCTCTACGAACACATGCACGCACTAGGTAATTGTCACTTTATATGCTTCATAATTATTCCTAACTATTTCATTCGTCATCATTTACCATATACGCGGTTTTATAAGTACGCGTTGTCGTCTGTTCTTGTGATAATTTTGTAATTTGTGTAATGTGCTTTTGTTATCGAAGTTTGAAAGGTGGAAGGTCATTCTAATGAATCTGTGATCTGTAACTTTTATTTCTAAAAAGTGTCTAACAGTTGCTGTAATAATATATAAGCTTTCGTTTGGTATCTGTGTATTACTATTAATTTTAATTTATTTTGATAAACTCGAAAAAATTTATCAAAAGAAATATGACGACGGTTTTAAAGAAATACTAATTAAACAATTATTTACAGGAGTTGATATGGAAGCAGGATCCATCATTGGCATTGTCATCGGAGTTTTGATCTTAATCTTCGCTGTATTCTTGGTAGTTTTTGCTCGGGCAACAGGACGTTGGTGCTTTGCAGGTGAGTCATTGTATCTCAACTTTTTATCATTCTCCTTTGTTCAAATAGGATCTACAATTTTGATACTTATTTCGAAACTAAACAATATTACTCTTTTCAAATGAACTGACAACATTATCTTGAACAATACGGTTGCGGGTGTAGCTGCTAAATATTCTTCATTCGCTCTTCTTGTAGATGATTTGAAGCTTTTAACAAACATATATATTGAAGCACAAAGAATTTAGAATGAACAGTAGATCAGATCAAATTAACTCTAAAATAATAATTAGCTCTTAAGTTGTAGTCACTTTATCGTACAAAGTCTTTCGAGATATTTAAGATCGTAAATGAGTGAAGGGTGGGCTCAACATTACACTCCAAATCAGATTGTTATGATGTAATTGGCCAACGAATAATCTGAATACTGTACATAGTCACTCGACAAAACTCGGGAAAATCTTTTTTTTTGAAGATACTTGAAAAGTATGAATGTTTAAGATAGAGGAATTGTTGTAAAAAAGAGAGTATGCATTGAATATATACAGTTTATTTTAAAAAATGAATATATCTTGTGTGTTGTGCTGCTATGGCTAGGACAGCATGCAAGTCGGGCCAAGTAAAGAATCCTGAGACACAACGACTTTAAGCGTGCGATTCTGAGTTCTATTCATGTCCAGGGGTAAGTTGTCGCGTAAGCGACTTTACCAGGCAAAGCATCATGTTGCAATTATACCTCCGCTCGACATTTCTTAATTATCATTGTGCGCGACATACTTGATGTCAATGTTTTTTTTAGTTTATCAACCATTATTCGCTAGTCATTGTATACTTTTAATCCTTGTTCTTAATAGCCAAAATGTTTTAAGACACATACGAACTTGAAAAACTTTCGTTTGAAATTTGATATTTTCATTTTATACTTCGAGTAAATCATATTTTGCAAATGTAAGTTTTTCACATTTCATTCGACTTCTTAGATACACAGTCATTCATCACGATTTTACTCTTTGATAAAATTTTACAACATATGTTACAAGTCATTGCTATAACAATTATCAACATGTTGTGCTGAGCAATTATTAATTATCATCACGAATGGCATAATAATGAGCTTATTGCCTAATATTAGCCTTTACTCATATATAACAAGAAGTCATTTATAACGTACTTTATAATAATTTCTTATCGTTCTCCTACTGAATTGAACGAAATCAATATTTTGCTAATAAATTCAAAGAGTAAATTGGACGATTGTTACACTAGTTTAGAAACCCGTCAGAAATTTCTTAAATTGTATTAGACTTGAACAATCTTAGACAGTACAATTGCAATGAACAAATCAACAAAAACACCGTGATGCATGAATTTGAACTTGCGATGTTTTTGCATGTAGTTTCGCATACCCTGTACACATATCGCGGATATTCCACATAATATTTTAGTCATGATGATTCCTATCATGTATTTAAATTCAATTAAATAACAAGCAACCACCACAAATCGGCGAAGGCAAGTGTGGATAAGCCAGGAGTTGATAATTTGTTATTGACTTTGCCAGTCTTACTTTTAGCTGTTACGTTCCTTGCAATTTGTGTAGCAAATTAAAATACCTTTAAGTATTCTTTTAACTTGATGTTTTTAATTGCATGTTTCGCTATTTTTTAGTTTTGAAATCCACTTGAAATTACTGGTTACATAGTGGCAACAGCTTCAAATGTTTCAAAAGAACTAATATTCATCTTGATAAAAGCTTTTTTTAAATGCTCAATTCTCATTTTCGGTGTCATCGGAATGGTATTGTTTATATTGTTTTTTATTTCATATTTTTAGTACATAAAAAGTAAATTAATGCATTCCTATCAATCTGTTATCTATTTAAATTTTCCTACTTCATAATGATCTATTCATTGCAAATATAATGATCGTATCATGATCTTTTTAATTATATTTTTATTTTCTAGTAATACTCACATGGATATCGTGTAAATTGTCAATTTTTTTATTTAATTTATTATTTTATTAAAGATTTATCAAAGATACTTCTTCATTTCAACAGTTTGTATAAACACCGTTACTTATAAAATATTTGTCATTTATAATTCATCATTATTATTTTCCAATTAACACGATGTAATCAAAACAGAAGAACGAAAGATTCTCAGTAATAAAACTTATTAAATTAAGTTTCTCAAATTCGTTTATTTATCTGTGCGTTATTATAGCTTTATAATTTAAAAATAATTGAAAACGCACTAATAATCTACAGAAAACTGTAGAAATAACTATTACTGTACAGCACTTATTCTAATATTTCACATGTATCATATTTATTGCACGATACTTTTTATATGCACAGTAACATTGAACGGATTGTCCTGTGTACTTATTTAAAAATTCAGTACTTTATTATTTAAAAATTAATGATACTGACTTTCAAAATTTAACATTGACAATAGTTTGCAAAAATTGGCATGTTTCAATTAAAAATATGTTTATATGATCATGATAACATCGAACATGACGCATAATTAAGTGGCCCAGCTGGTCTCGAAGAGTGAAAATTATCAGTTTACTTTACTGCGGTACAAAAATCATTCTATTAAAGTTATCATCATGAATACTTTTTCGTTATAAATTACACGATGCTTTTATTATCTTCTTTTGAAGTTCTAAAATCTCGCTTAAACTTTCTAGGAAGTCCACTTAACTGTAATACTTTATTTGTTGAAAAAACTTGGTTTACCACTTGTCTCTGAACATTAAAGTAAACGAAAACCATGTTTGAAGGATCACATTTACTTTATTTAGATTAGTACTCCAAATCAAATGAAAGATTTTTCGAAATAGTCAATTTTATTATTTTTATGAGAACTTTTTGAAAATTCTTTTTTGATAAATTTGAAAAAGTTGTCATGAACATGGTAAAATTGACTATTTCGGAAAATACTAATGTAATATAATAAAATACTAAGTATCCTTTAATCTAGAATACTGATCTAAAGGGAAAAAATGAGCCCTTTAAAAATGATTTTTATCCATTCTATCGTTCACAAAAGTGTGGTAAACGACTTTTTTTCTAAAAACGAGATGTTACGGTTAGAGGAATTTTCTAGGGCACCTAATTGAGATTTTGAGACTTAAGAAGATGAAAAATGTTAGGGCTTTAAGATGAAAAATGTTCGTGATGATGACGTTATTAGTATGATTTGTACATAGTAAAGAAAACTTGTAAATTTCATTGTTTAACACTAGCTGACCTTCTTAATTAATTATGAGTTATTAATTTTTTCATGAAAATAAATGATTGCATGACTTTTTTCTGTCTTTTTTTAACCTCTTCGCAATTTTTTAACCAAATTTTATCTTGGTGTTTATTATCAAAACATCATCGTAGTATTTTAACAGAATGAGCCAGACATTCTCTCTAACAATTGCTTGATTTTTAAAAACCAAATAAACATTTTCAAACTAATGCAATTACAGTTAATAATTAAATAAATACTGCTAGTCACATAATTGTGGTTATAATCTCATGTTTGACAAAATCACTGGCTCAATCTACGTAAAAAGTTTAACGTACAAATGAAAACGATGACTCATTTTCTAAAAACTACAAAAAATATTTTAAAGAAATGCTGGATTCTGAAAAAAAAGCAGTGGTTATAAAAAGTAGTTTTCAATAGTATTTGCATCGTATTTAAAGTAGAAACGAGCAGTAATATAGCTTTAATAAAGCATGTGAATCCGACATGCTTGTAGCTAGCAGTACGTAAAAGAGAGTAAAGAGAGCAAGTAAAAAGAATCCACACTTTGCTGAAAGTAAGAGTGCCTTTGACCGACGTATGTGGGGTTGCTTGTTGCAGCGAGGCGCCGTGGCGACGAGGAGGCGGCCGAGGGCGCGGGCGCCGGCAGCGAAGCGCACATCACGCCTGGCTCCGACGAGGACGACGAGCAGCACGAGCACGAGCAGCACATCATAAACGACGAGAAGGTGCCGCCAATATCGCACGGCCAGGAGAATCCCGTTCACGCGAGCACCGAGTACGTCAACGGCCGCAACGACATCAATAATAAGGACGTCAAGACCGACACCCCCGTCTAAGACACTCCGCAATCCATACTCCTCTTGCCTAAGATACATACCATCTCTCGATCAACAACTATCTTCGCAACAACACCGTCAGTACACGCACGAGCCTCGACCATTCTTTCAAAATGACTATATACCCATCAGCTCGGCGCTGAGCTGTCTGTGTACATGTGTGTGACCACTGTGAAAGCGTGTCGACTCGGGGATCGACTAGCCATTTTTTCCTCTTGCGGGCACATGCGACTTTTCCTCGAGCGAGCGGCGCCGTCCTCTTTAATTGTAATGATGTAACCAGACATGTCGTTGCCGTCGTCGTCGTCGTCGCCGTCGTCGTCGTCGTCGTCGTCTTCGACATTGAACTTTTACGCAACGTTAGCGAATCGCTAAGCGAAGCCTCGTCCTTCACTCTATATATCTTTTTTTCTACCCGAGCATGTAGTCAGTTAATCTTTTCTCTATTTTTCTATTTTTTCATAGATTTTTTCTATCGAGCTTCTCGGCGATCCGCCTACGGATATGATTACTGTCAAACGCTTTTTATATTTCTTGTAAAATGAAATAACGTCAGCAATAGGTATATTTCTTCAACTTAAGTTCTGTTTTGATGACAGCGAATCATCACAGTCGCTTTATTCATATACAAATTGACTGCATATGCCACTCAATGCACTTATCTGACGTTATCTCGTTTTTCCGTACGTGAGTTTGTAAATAGCTTAAAAGAGATAAATAAAATAGCTTAATAACTAAAAAAATAGCTTAATCCTGCAATCGAATCTCTAATTAGCAGAAATCATTCCAATGCGCATATATACAAATTTTGCAATCTTGCATCAATCGATTTGTTAAGCAAAAATGCATCTAACAGAATCTCATTAGAATTAAAACAAATGTTTTTAAGTATCACAGTTTTGTAAGGGCATACTTAAGTTTAGCTGAATAAGACTATTAATGAATGAACAAATTTAATGCCATGGCAATATCATTTGAACATTCCTCAATAAAAATAGTTAGAAACTCGTCGGTAGTTTGTATGAAAAAACACGGCCGGCATTCTTTGAAATGATCTGGCCTTTATAAAAACAAATGGAAGACGTAATTTCCATATAAAATACATATTTTTCTTTGGGATCAACAAAGTTTATCTTTTATTTTCGTGAGTTTTTATTTGACATAATGTAAACATCACTTCTGCAGCCGTTTGAAGAACAATTGCAATTGCTATAATTTAATTATTAAATCAAATAAAAAATAATTGTGTTGATGTATTATAACTATAAAAAATGCTGTCATAAGCATAGTAAAATACTTTAATTTTGAATTTTTCAAATTTTCAGTGCACGGTTCGATAAAACGGGTGCAGTTTAAGACAAGTATTTAAATTTAAGTTTTATTTTATTATATCTTGAAAACTAGCACGCAAAACACTGGTTAGATCACGTGATTTTTTTGTAATTCAGCACAGTAGTTAGTATTTTTCAAACTCACTGATATGAAATTTTCGGTAACTAAAATATAATATTATTTATTGCTCTTTAATTTTTGTGAAAATAGACGTACTTTCATGATAATCTCAATACTTGTGAATCTATTATAGATTTTGGCTGAATTTGAAGTTTCTGCCATTGCTTTTTTCATATATAAATGACAAAAATGAGAGCTCTTACATTCTAATTTTTTAATGCTCCCATGCGCTCCAATCAACTGTTTTCGAACTACTATTTCACGTTATCATTGACAATAAAGATTGTTTATACTTTTATATAGATAATTTTTGCTAAGCCTCACCTAGGCGTTATGAAAAAGTGATAGGTAACTTTTACCATTTTGAAACTTATGGAAGTTCATTGTCTAATTTAATTAATACAACATGATAGAAAACAAAAAATAACTGCCCTGTATTGAGATTACAAAATTTTATTTTGTATTTTTTATTTCTACTACTAATTACTGTTTTTGTAATCATTTATTGAACAAAGAATTTTTATAAATATTTATCAAATAAAAAGACTTTAAGTAAATAAAAACAAATATGAATATTTGTAAATCGTATGCTTATTTTCAAAATCCTTTTCATTTGGGTATTATAATTATTTCGAATTTAATAAAGTATTAATTAGCTATTTAAATTATAATCAAATCAAAGAAATCAAGTTATGTAATGTAAATGTTCGAAAGAAATATCTCTTGGGCTTTAAATCAACAAAAAAACTGAAATTGCGATTTCTGTTTGTAGATTATACTCAAAAAGTTATAATAAAGAATAATTAAAAATGCTCGAATATGAAATAATGATATAGAGAAACATTGATTCGCAATATACAAGAAAAATTCGTTAGCGGTCAGCCTCGACAAATTCGTATGCAGTGTATATATATGGAAAATATATGAAAGGAAAATATACAAATATACATATTATAAATATTATTGCGGTGAGATTGAATTATATATTCATGATAAATTATGTTGGAAAAACGTCGAGGCATTTGGCTTGCAACACAAAAAATTATGTATCTACATAACTTGCATCCCAATTGCCACCGACCTATAGTTACTCATTCATATTTGTATTCATGAATAACAAGATGTTACAAATTGCAGAGTGATGTGTTACTTGATATTAAAAAATACAAAGTTCTATCTAAGTAACATTGGAAAATTGTTCGACGGAATTTCTCTGTCCACAGTATTGATAGAAGTATTCATAATTCATGTCTGTGACCTAATCAATGATTAAACTTCGTGACTTGTAAGAGTATGAAAATACCTAAGTTTATTCACGTGATTAATGAATGGAATTTATTTTACATTATTGATGGAATTTGTTTTTTTCAATGATTTTATTAAATGACATAATAGTTCAAAATGGAAAGTGTAATAATATCAGAATTCCAAATGATATAGAAAATAAATAATAAAGCTATATAAATATCAATGCATTTGCAATAATTGCAGTACCGTTCTCAACTTAATGTCATTTCACTTTACATAATCAGATATGACAATGTGAAAAAAAGTGTATGGTAGATACAGAAAAACATTTTGAAAATTATGTCAGAAGATACAGACTTTTAAGAGAAATTTAAGAAAAACCAATCAGTCCTTTTAGATATTTAATATCAGTGTTTATCTGAAATATTAAAAGTTCAATTTTTGAAAGCATATCGACATAAGTACATGTGCAATTCTACCACTGCCGTCAAAAACAGTATAAAAAGTAATGAACCAAATAATAAAATTGTGACCAATTACTTTTTCTACAGTAAATATTATTTCAAATTTCGTTAAAATCATTCTATTTCTATTATTACACTAAGTATTCATTAGCCACGCCAACCTTTTTCTGACAAAAGTTTACATATTTGAAGAAGTAAGTGTAAGCATGAATCTACAAAAATTCGAAATGTTTCGATAATAAAGGAGTATTCACAAAACATTTCTGTAAAATTATACTTCAAATTGTCAATGCTAAATATAATAAATATAAGCTCAAGATTATCGTTGAACTGACGATTATTGAGCAAGGGGAAAATAACACGAATTTACGTGAAGATTTTTAAGCAGCAAACACTCCCTTAGACGCTGTGAGAAAGCTAACTCGTTTTCATTGTATAAATATACTTTAAAGTACATTGTTACATTTGTACGATGTGCTTGCATAATTACTAATTATTGAGAATCGATTCTAAGTATTTACAACTATATAAAGAGCATGTTCTCATTCAATAAGATTTAATGTTTTGTAAACGTCGATTCTTGTAGCTGTACTTTAAATTTAGCCTGTATTTTATTGTTTAAATAATTTGCAATAATGATATGGAAACGAAGTTGGCAACTCATTGAAAAAGATATAACTATATAGTAATATAAGCATGAACGTTGGCCATACAATGGAGTAAACATATATAAATATATTTATGTTAATGTAAGGTTTAGATATTACAACGACAAATGTGAACAAGTTATTATCATTATCAAAAGTTGGCGTTCTCTGAAAAAAAAATGTTTATACAAGAACGTTTATAATCTTTTTTACACATTTTTAATAACTAAAAAATCAAATCATTCTTGTGAGTAAATTATTTACTATTCAATTTATCTCACTTTTATACGTATTCAATAAACAGACTATACCAATGGAATCATATTAATTTAAAACGCACGATTCAATAAAATTTAATCTCACCTTGTATTATTAGAAATGTATCACTTCAGAGACCGCTACTTTGTTTTAAAGATAACTGCGAAAATCTAAATCTAAATGTTACGAATCTTCAGTGAGAAATAAAGTGACTATGTCGAGCAGAGAGAAAAGAGAATAGGAAATAAAAGATTTTGTATCTGTACTGTTAGATACAATGATGATAAAAAATGATATCGGTTACTTATGAACAGGATTAAGAATTAAAATGAAATTAATATATAGAGAAAGCTGTATGTACTTTAAATATAAGTTCATTCATCGCTATGATATTATACTTAGGAATCGTATGATTTTTGAATAAAATCTTTGTTTTAATTATATGCATCTCTTCAATTTCTTAAACATTCTTTAGTCGTGTAAAATGTGTATTTGGTTGAATGAACAATTAAATAGAAGTTAATTGTGAATGAACATTCAAATATTTTTTATTTTTAACTACAATTTATTTATTTCTTTTTTTGCACTAATCGAAATCATTTTTTTATCGATTCAAATATTTTTGATTTCTTGAAATTTAAAAAACATCTTAATTTACAGATTTACCGTAACGTAAATATTTTTTTCAATTTTGTCAATATATTTTAACTTTCAAATTACAGGTGATTCCACAAAGAGGAACATTGGTGAATCGTAAGTATCCAAAACTATTAAATTTTTTTTTAATCAAGTATTTCTTGAGTTTTTATTGTAACTAATATATTGTAGATATTTTTCTGTTATACTGGCTTTTCCAATACTGTAGCAATTGTTGTTAGCATTAACAATGTGATACTTTTTTCTGAATTTTATTTTTATTACTGTAAACTATATTTTGACAAAGCTAAAGTTAGAGAGACAAGTGAGAGTTAAAGACTGAACAAAAATGTAGTTATGATTTGTTGGCATGACTCGCACATTTTACAGAGACTTAGCGGAGCCGGCGGAGAGCATTAATCTACTACGCTTCGTCAAACCAAAACCAAAAACAGACGATGCCAGTCCGCGAAGGCAAGAAGCACCCTGATATATTTTGCTTTTTTTTTGTTTGGCAATGAGAGAAATTCGGTCATTCGGGTTCAGTACTGGATATGTTTGAATTACTAGATATTTTAATATATTTACAGTTACATTGATAATATTTATGAGCCGTTTAATATTGTTGCTGCTTCTTTTTAATAAAATTATTTTCGACGCTTTTTTGCTTCTTGCTTTTGGATCTAATGCCATAGATTTGAGCTTTCTGATAAATGCCAGTCGCAACAAAATATCAAGCTTTGTATATGTGCTTTTTATCACAACATCCATGTATATAAAAAATGTATTATTCATAAGAAAATTTTGTTAATATAAATTATGTCTTCACATTGTTACATGAACAAAATTATTTGAATTTAATAAAACTATCGAAGTCAAATTTTAGAAAACAGTTTTCTAATGCATATTGCAATTACTTTTAAAGTAATAATTACCGCGGATAAACGTATAACATATTGGCTTATGTGATTATTAACTGTGCGATGAATCAAGCAGATCTATAAAAACATTCAAAACACGAAGTGCAATTAATGTTCACGATCCCTGCCTTGTTAAATAATTACATTCATTCATCACTTATGCACTATGTCGTATTAAAATTTTTCCTCTTTTTTTTACTTATGTCTATTTGCACTTTGAAGCTATATATAAAAGGAACACACTATTAGAATTTGTTTAAAAATCATGAAATTTTAAATGTTTTTAAAATTTGCTACCAGGAATCTATGTTACATTTTAAGAATTGTTTTCGTTTCTTACTGCCATCCTATTGAAATGAAAGCTTTGGATTGGTCTTGCAATTTAATTTTAAAAAGGCTTTCAAATCAAGAAAAGTAACACGAATGTTCTTAGTCATGATTATACAAAAATACGCTGCTTCCAATGTATGATAACTTAAATTCAAATAATTTGTTTGATTCTTTCAAAAACTTGAAACGAGCCACGTATTCTTCAAAATAAATAATAATAAATGTTTTATTTAACTCAGAAGTGATACCGAAAGCACCGGACGTTTCTCAAGAACAGAAGTAGACACTGGAAAAAATAGTGGCAGACCAAAAATCAGTTTCTCGCAGCTCTTTAAGCGGAATAAGGATAAGGTTTCTGGTGCTGACACTGACACAGTACGAACTGTTGTTACGATGGAAGATGAGAAGGTAATGATTTGAAAGAACTAGAATATACTTTACGTTTTATAAACATGTATGCTTTATACTTTTACAAATTACATATAAAAATTAGACGGCAAAATAAATTCACGTATTTGGTTTGACAATGCATACTTGTTTTGGGTATAAAAATAATAAAAATACTTTCCGCTATAAACTTTTGATGTCACGACATAACTTTTGTTCACTTGACATAATGATTAAAAAGTAAACATTTGATTATTCTAATAATTTTCACTTCTATCAGTGATAAATTTTGTTTGCAATGATGTCGTGAGTAGAGAACTTTTAACAGATATGACGTAACTATTTGCTAATTATTAACTTGAAAGAATCAATATTCAGTAATAGAACTTGTTACAAATATTATTGTAGATTAACTTTTTAACATTATTTACATCTTTAAATTATAAAAGTGATTAGATCGCATAGACAATTACTACAATTAGTGTGATCCTGTCGTATGAGTAACATTTTTGTTGATTTGTGAGAATACGTAAGATATGACGGAGAAAAATATTTCATACGTAACATTTGTTCATCGTAATAATTTTTTCAAATATTGAGCTGATACAGCGCAGGTTACGCATTGCATTGTGATAAATGACAAATTAATGAATTTAAATTCAAATCGTCTTTACAACTTTGTTACGCAACTGATTTATCAATAGAAAGTTATTATTCTTATTAGTCAAGTGAAATATATTGCACATAGCTAACTGAAAATTGAAGGCGACATAGATATTATTAGTGAAATACAGTATTTAGAACATTTATTTCCTTAGTTTCATCTCGATTCGAGAATTTCATATTGTACAATGGTATTGATTCAACTGCAGCTCGATTAATCACGACGATAACTTTAAAATAATTGTTCTTTAAAAATTTGTTCTTTAATACAGCATTAAGCTGTCATTTCAGCTAAACAATTAATGCAATCTTACAATACTAAATGATCGAATTATATGCTTTTATCGACGTTATTATACATTCTCCAGACAAAACTAGGGAGAGAAAATTTTCATAAATTATTGTATATTATACATAGAGGTAGAGGGACCTTAACATATTCAGTTCTTCGGCGTCGTCATTTGTATTGTACTTATACATACGACTTTGCAGCCTCCCGTAAGCGACGTGACGATTCCCATGCCAACGGCAACAAGCGGCAACGAGAGTGGCATTGTATACGCTGAGTTGGATCTGGCTCACCAGCAACCCAATGCGCCACGACGAATCACCGACGAGAAAACCGAGTACGCCGAGATCTTGTACACGAAGCCCGACGGTCAGCCCAACGAACACCCGACGCCCACTAAATAGTTTGCCGTTAACGGCCGCAACTGCGTCGCTCAAGGCTTACGATACCGTCCAACCGTGTGCTGCATCTATTACCCTGGGATGCCGGAGATTCATGCGCACTATTATCTTTAATTTGTTTTTGTCGTCGGCATTTTGAGATAAACTAGTTTCCGATGCTCGATGATAAATTATTCGGAATATCAATCCGAAGATCTGATTATTTCCCATAAAATAAGCTTTTTTTAAATGCAGCAGATTTATTCACTGAATAATCTGAAGCTGTCCTTTCATCGACGAGTTCAGTTTGACGTACAGAGATAATTGTGCATGTTTGAGAACACACGAATTAAAGTAGAGTTTATCAGAAACTTTTAAAAACATTCGAGTCCAAAACGAAATATTGATGCTAGCTTGGAATCGAACCTTTTTTTGTTACTTTATCAATTGTCATTCTTTATTTATCTAGGTGATCTTTTCTTTCAAAAATATTTATCAATATAACACGTGTACGCACTCTTGTGAATGCAGTGAAAATATTTTCTAAAGTTTGTTGCATTTTCTAAAAAATGTTGTCAAAAGCAGACAATTTCACTTAATCTAAAAGTAACTGTTTATTTTTAAGAAAACTTTCTTAAATTGGAATTATTTTCAAGAATCCAGCAAATATAAGACTTTCTTTGCTGTGAGTCTCTTCCAAGTCTATAAGTTTATTTATTTCAGTGATCTATAATCTACCTGTAATGTAATAATGTCATGGAGAGAATACTACTGTAATTCTTTTGTAGTTTCTTGCATTCCGATACATTTAATGTGTTTATATTTAACAATTAATGGTGCCTATGTTATACTCCATTCTATACATGCAGCCGTGTATGATTCACGTACTTAAGGTTGTTAATAAGTATTTTTCATTTATTTTTATTACCATATGCATAGAACAAAATGTTTTCATTATAATTTTAAGGTAATTTTGCCTTAATTTTTTTGTTTTATGGTTTTTATAATTGAGAAAGTTTATTTTTCCTATAATTTTTTACGGATGGTAGTATGACAGGAATAACTTGATTGACAACTTTTCTTGAAAATTATTTTTCAGATTGTAGAAGTGATTAGTTGGACAAAAATTATAAAATTAGATTGCTAATTTTATCGATGTAACAATTCTTTATATGTAAGGTGATATAAATAACATATTTATAAGAAAAGTGGTTGTGCAGCTTTCACCTTTTAAGTACAATTTATATCATGTAATCAAATTCTCCAATTATTTCAATGTACTTGACATTTAGTTTATTTTAATTATTGTGAAAAATCATTATCGTGTAATGCATAAATTCACTTGCAAGTGAAATGAAGATAACTACGCGTCTATCATTGATATTCTTATGTAAAATTGAGTGTTGTCTATTGTAAAAAAAAACAAAATGTCGTATGTCAGAGTAGTGTTAATATTTAAGATTTTTAAATTAGGCATGATGATTACATTGTGACAATGTGCGTAATCATCCATTGTGCCTATACGATGGCTCGTATGGTTACTGATGCAGTATCTAAAAAACTCAGTCGGCGCTATTATACGCCTAAAAATAAGCATAAAGTTCAATACAAAGTCTATTCTTTACGCACAAGTGGACCGATATTTTTTGTAATTTGTTAAATGCATAGATGTATACATAGAAAGAAACTTTTACTATATTACTATACTAGGTACAGCTGTTTGTAAGATGTCGAAAAGATTTGAAAACGATCATGTCCTTATTTTGGTAAATAAATAAATTGATACAAATTTTTTGTTACTGCATGTTAATTTCAAAGAATATTTTTAACCAAATTTTTTACAGATATAAATGCATTATTCAGTAGTTTGATTAGCTGAACTATTTAAATTAAGATGAATACTACTCCTATATGTTATTTCTTACTCCTGTATGTTACTTTCTTCGGGTTCTTCTTCCATTTGTTCACTACACTGTGAAAATACACTAAACTCAGCTGACGCGGATCCTATCATTGTCGATGAAAGTAAAGTTGAAGTCATTTTCTTAAATTCTTTTTGTCCATGCTTATAATTGTGATAGATATCTTTTTTCAATTCCGCATTATACTTGTGGAACATTTCTCGTTCCTCTTCATAAATAAAGCTACTCCTAACATCGATTTCTTTTTTTGTTTGACATGATCCACGTACTTTTTCAATTTTTTCATCAATTATTGAATCTTTTTTAGGGCCACAAGCAATTTTAGGATGGGTTTTTCCACGTTGTGGGAAGCACTCATCAGGAATATTTTTTATTAAGTTCAAAATCTTGGGGTAGCCAACAGTTTTATTCAGAATACTGGAAATTGATTTAGTCAACTTCGTTCCAGGTTTCGGTGCACAACAGCTTTGTGGTCTTCTTCTACCACATATTTTCTTAGTTGAGACAGTTTCTAATAATAAATCCGGAGCACATTCCAGCTCTAATCCTCGACTCAAACCTAATTTCAAGTGTTTACTGTATAATAAGTAGGAATCTTCGTCTGGAACAGCGTCGCATCCGTTGACGAGACAGGCATGATTGATCGTAGTTCCTGGTGATTGGCGAGCAGGCTTATCCAACAATTTTTTGCGACTGATTTTGGAATTTGAGTCGCTCGGTTGCCAGTCATCTTGCTTGAAAAACAAGTTCACTGGTGTTATTGCGAATTCAAGTCGGTAATTTGTGTTTAGGATTTTCGTAACCACGTAAACTAGCATGTTTAGATTTCTAGTTCTGATTGCATATATGGCTCCGTGGTTTTCCGAGAATAACGGTGGTCCTGTCCATGATGCGTCAATAACGTAAAAGGCTTCGGATGTTTTCAACAGGGCAACGAACTTTTTATTACAGTGAAGTAACAGATTTTCGAAACGTTTGAATGCGTTTTCCATCGTTTCTGCTAGATTAGGTTGATCGGTACTGCAATAAAGTACTCCACACATATCGGAGGAAAATTCCAAATCCCAGAAGTAAGGTGTGATCTTCAAACAGTCGGTCAAACTAAATTGATTGCGAGATTGTAGTGGGATTTTTTGGCTGTCTTTGTAGTAAGAGTGGCCGCAAATAACCGCCGAATCCAGAACGCTAGTACTCCACATAGATGGATGACATAAATTTTGCATGGCCAGAGCGGCAATACATATAGCTACTTGATTCTTGCCAGCGTGTAAACCAAATTTCGTATCGAAAGTACTCAGAGTGCCCCAAATAGAGTATATCGAATTTGGTATTTCTATTAAGTAGTTTTTGAACATAGGCTTTTTTACTTCTTTTGGCGTTTCTAGTTCTTTTGTTTTCTTTTTTGGAGCATTCTGCTTCGAAACGTGATTGTAACTCCAATGGTTATCTAAATAAATCCAGACTGGATCCTCTTGAAATTTGGGACAAGCCGAGGAATCAACCGATTCCACATGTATTTGGTGAATAAAGAAGCCAGTAGTTTCTTCAAAGTTATTCAAACACATCTGCTTGACCATTTCGCAAATAGATGGAAACATGAAAAGACAACTTTTGCCTCGCAAATGAACTCTTTTTCCGTTTTCGTCGCAATAGTAAGGATCTAGATAATAGTAACAACATTTTGCTCTCGAGTACCAAAAACCGTAGCAGCAATTCGAGAAATGTATAACACCACTCGTTGATTTTTTCAAGTGCCGCTCGAGATGCTTTTTCACGATAGCGATAAAATTTTTGTCATTCATATCAACTTGACCCTGCAAGCAAATTAGTTGAGAAGCGCAATCTCGAAGCTCAAACGCGCGACCCAGTAAGCACACGTCTTTGAGGATGTGCTCGGTGTGATACTTTGGCTGCTCGCATAATTTGTAGATACATTCGGCGAGCTCTAGAACTTTGTCTACCATCCCAGGTAAGGGATTTTGGATGATATCTCTCTTGAGCATCACTGCAAACACCGCAACAAAGTAACAGCGTTTTACGTATGGTTCAGTCACAGTATCCCGCTCATTCAGCGCAACGCTTCCGAATATAAGTAAAGGCTTTTTCGGACAGTTGATGGGGCGGAAAACTGCATCGAAATCATTTTCTTGATCATTTACGTGGATTTTCGCTAATGAAGACGAGGGCATCATCGACTCGTGTAGACCATCAAGATCGCTGCAGTCTGGTCCATAAATTTTAGTGTAAGATATCGTGATAATTCTAATTTTGAAATCCACTTCTTCAGGCTGACCGATTTCCTGCAACAATCAAACATTTTAAGTAAGCATTGCATTTGCCTCCGAAATATATCTAATAAAACATATGGAGCACTAACTTTGACTATAAGCTTTAAATAGTGTACCATATCATCCGAAACAACCATCCTGATATTTTTCGTTCTATCAAGCAGCCACCAGGCATAGTATTTATCTCTATTTTTCATAACGCCAATATGCGCATCTCCACACACAATGATGGCGCCGGTATATACTGTCGAGCCAAAAATCTTTTCCAACGACATCGCCAAGTTCCAACCTTCGTCCGCGTACAACACACCCGCGTGCATTGGAGCGAAGACAGCTCGGAAATTGTAATTGGCAATATTGAACTCTGTCAGCACATCGTCGCACATTTTTGTAACCGTTGTATCCTCGGCAGTCAGTAAGCTATCGAAAGCGTATTCTCTGCTCGCTTCGAAGAGAGCTTGCATTGTTTTGGTACTCCAAGCCGGTGGCTCGTATATCTGAGCCCAAGCCATTACGCATAAATCCATCGGCTCGGCGAGTACTGAGTTTTCGAAAAATTTGCGATCGTACGGTATTTGCCTCGACGGTTTGCAGTTCTCATCGAGTTTGAAAGGTGCCATGATTGGTCGAGTGATATCGTTTTCCAAAATTTCTACCTCGATCGCTGAAGCGTTGTAGTTCTTGATCGGCGTGAAACCTGGACAGGCACCGTCGTAAGTCGGAATCTCAGTTATATCGTTTTTCACCCAATCCGACGATTCGATCAACGAAGTTTCCGATTCACTTTTCTCGAGTTCCGGAGGGCAACATTCGTCAGCATACGACGGTTGATCATCCTCAACTGGCAATTCACAGCAAGATTTCTTTTTTCTTCTCGGCTTACGCTTCTTTATTTGCTCCAAATGTGATATCGCGATGGTATATAGTCTGTAAGATTGGCAAGTAGCTTCTCCAGTATTTTCGATAATTCGATTGATGAAGGTATCAAAGTCACAGATTTCCATGAGACACGCTTGCCCCCCAGGAGCAGCTCGACCATTCTCATCACAAGAATATGGATCAAATAGATAGTAGATGCCGTTGGCGGTCCAGAAGGCATAAGCAACGTTTCCAAAAACCAAAATTCCCGTTTGATTCTTATCGAGGAAGCTCGGTAAAAGGAATTCGAGCGCGTCTGGCTCGTAATTATCCGGATCGGCGTAGCGAGTTTGTCTCAGAATGACGTTGCAACGCGCGCCAAGGATGTTGAAATTCCGAAAGCAGCGCATCATCTTGTATCGGAATTTACCCGTTACATCACTGATCTTATTCGTCGCAACGATCATTCGATCGAGGAAGCCACCGTGAAACTCGGTCACGTCCACGTTGATTTTGGCCAGCACGCAGAGGATTGCCGAGAAGTAGCAAGATTTGTAGTGACATGACTCTATTGTCTCGCGATCTTGTAAGCATTTGCTTGCTAGGATAATGCCGACGTTCTCATCGTCCGTTTTGCCGAAACCACGAATTTCCGAGCATTTACCATCGACTTGCCCGTCATCCGGCTCGCCAACCTCCGCACACTTGTCGGTTTTTGGGCATTCCTCGGGTGTTTCTTGCGCTTCTTTCCACTCCTGGAAATACAAATTTATTGAGTGTTTCATCATGCTTTGAGTAATAATGGACATTTCGAATAAGAAGAAATTTTTAAGTTTACTTCACCGTAAACGAACAAATTGAAAATTACGGAGTCAAAAATATTTTTAAATAATCGAAGCATTTACTCCACATGAACGTGAGAAAATAAATACAATAAAGCAACTCACCGTGCATCCTTTAAAACCCGGCACAACTAGTTCCAGTAGCAAATTTTCGGTGCTGCAAACCAGTTTTCGCAATACCACATCCTCCTGCTGCTTTTCGGACAACGAGCACCTCTTTTCTTGTTTTTCTGGACAAGCGCGAGGTTTGGGATTGAACTTTGGAGTCATTATACACGGCCCAACTGGAATGATACTCGGCAAAATACAATCGGTTGGTGCGTCAGGCACAACTTGCGCAATCATCTCGATTTCCTTCTCTTTTTGTTTACGCTTGCACTCTTCTTCCAGCACTTCCTCGGCAATCTTGTCGTGTATATATTGCTCGTCGACCGCGCGAATAGGCGTCAAGCCATCCGGTAAACTCTTGGAGAAAAAATATTTTTTTCGTGGCAAATTGATTAGTTTGGATTTGTCAACGGTACTTATGGTAACATCAGAAATATCTTCTTTTTCTTTCATAGCCAGTCTTGAATCAATGGAAAACCTCGAAAGCAAAGAGTGGCGTGATTTTGAGGCTAATTTTATGTCCAAAAGGTTGCACAGATTTTTGGCTGGCGGTATAACAAACGGAGGTGGATGCTTGTACTTCAGTTTCTCATAATATACGTTTTGATGTTCTTGGTACTCTTGATTTTCAGTTGAATCTTCGATTTTCACGATACCGGTTACGAGTGCGAGATTCAATCTTTCCGGAGTTTCACCTTGTTCAGTCTCTGCCACATCTTTAAACAGATTTTCCAAATCCTGTGTTAACGATTTGGCTTCGTAAGCAGAGTTCGTTTCGTTATTCACTTCAGTTTCTTCGTCTTCAATCGTTGTTTCGTGTATTGCTTCATTTTTTAAATCATCAGGTTTCATATCATTTAAATTATCTTCAGTTATTGGTAAAAATTTAATTTTGAATTTTTCAAAGCTTTCTATTGTAGATCCATTTTCAACTGAGTTCGATTCGTTATTTTCATCGGATTGGAACCTCAGTTTAACGTAATGGCATTTAAAGTAATAATCGTTAAATTCAAATAAACCGTAGAGCAAATTGACTAGTTCATTAATGCTGTCGACGACAAAAAGCGTTGCTGCCTCGGTGATATTCCGCCAACCGTCACAATCGTTTCCATATGGATTAAACACAAAGTATTTATCACTCTGCAGCCACACTGCGTACATCAATTTATTATTCTCCAACAACATCTCGTTGAAAGTATCGAAATATTTTTCCAAAGCTTCTCCTAAATTCGCCAATGGATTTGCCTCACCCTCAAGAACACTAATTTGCCATGACAAACGAATATATTCATCGAGAATTTTAATTTTTTCCGGCAACATCGAGAACTCTATGTTGTTAAGTCCTCTGATAAAAATGCTATCGGACATACGGGATGCCGAAACGAAAGTTTCCGAGAGTTCTTCTTGCTTAGAACGTGACGCCTCTTCTTGATCTTCATCAGTTTCTTCAAAAGGGTCACCTTCCGAGCCATCGAAGATCCAAGCAACTATTTTTCCGTAGACTGCATTTCCTTCAATAATTATTTGATCGACGTCTCTGTGGGTCCAATCAGCTTCATTTTTTAACCGAGCTTTTACCATCGCTGTCAGGCCTATAATCAAACCCTGCCTTCCTTTACTCGGTTCGTGAAATCCAGCGTCCACACAATTTCTCGTCGCACTCAGGATCAGTCGATGTGGATTGGCGATCTCGTAGCCGATGTCGTCTTCATTGAGCTTGTCCTTGTCGGCGTTATCAAACGTATCCATGAAAAGCTCGACTTGACTCATCAGTTCCGGATATTGCGCCACGTAATCTACCAAAGCGTCTCGTGGCCGCGGTATAGGATGCGGTTTTACAACCGTGACGCACTCGTCAACGACGGTCGACGGTGGTGAGGGTGGCGGTTGAGGTCTGCGATTAGTATCTTTTTCTCGATACACAACTTTCTCATCGGAAGCGTCGCTTGCAATGCCAGCCTTCACGTACAACACGCTTACGCCATGGATAAAGAACGGATCTTTGTCTTTAGTCTCCGTATTCTCCAACAGTATCTCCAGCAATTGATTTATCGACGAATTCATCGTTACGCAGCACGCAGCTTTGTTATATCTAGCCGCCTCGTCCGGATCGGTTGGATCAACGCGAAAGCCTTCCTCGTCGCACGCGAAAGGATCGAGGAGGTAGTACTTGTTGTTCTCTTTCCAGATAGCGTAGAAGGTATTCTTCAATTCGAGGATACCGGCGGCGTTGCCGTTGAAGAAATCGCGAGTACCGACGTTCACGGTTGTCTTGCCTTTTTTACCCTCTCCCGGCACGACATTCTCGGTGAGCTTTATCTTGGCTGTGTACACGCCAAGAACGACATCGCACAAGAGCTCGCTGACTGACATCTCGAACGAGTCGTCGAGCCTCTTGCCTAGGACACGTGCCAAGTCGGTGAGATAGATGTTCGACTGATTGACGATCAGATCGATCATGAATTTCGTCCACTTGTTGGCACTCAAGAGTTTCGAATAGACGATAGCCGCTAGAGCGAGCACGAGATGATTTCTACCGTGAAATTCCTTTGGTATATTCGGGTGATATGCGTGATAAGTTCCCCGCACTACTGCACGGAATGTTTCCGGGATCGAGTAACCGTCCGCTGGGAGTGTTGCTGGCCCCAGAACTTGCTCTGGTTCTTCCGGTATAGCAGAAAGCTCTTTAACGCTGCTGACCGATACTTTGTGAAGCACGTACGACTCGTTCTGCACTCCGCTTTTCTCCAGAATTATGAACAGCACACCGGCCATATTTTCGACAAAAATTAATTTGGCCGTCCCTTCGGTGTTGGAGTCGTCGATCTCTACATCGTCGAACCTCGGCTGGGCATCGAAGATGTTGAAATGCCTACAGCACTTCCAGATGGCGACGTTCAACACCGGCGAGGTGAGCACGCATATGTCTTGCTTCTGGAAAAGCAACTCGAGTGCTTTGGCCACGTGAAGATCCTGCGGCCTCTCCGACCTGAAAGTTCCAGCGTAAAGAGGATCGTTAATTTGAACGGTCGCGCGGTGTGCGTTGCGTATGTTTAAGTGCGGCTGCAAGTGCTGCAGCGTCACTGCCCGTCGGTCGTCTATCTTCAGGTGCTGGTAAGAGTTGTTGTAAAAGCTATCACCGTCTTCGACAACTTGATCGATCACAGCCTCGTTCCAGCATTCTGGCTTTATTAGAAACGATGTAGCGATTGCTGCTACGGCGATTGCTGGGCCCTGCGGTAAATGCAGTGTTTTTCACCTCGCAAACTTGGTAATACTGTGATCAAACCTATGGATAACTTATTTACCTGGTAACCTCTCGATAAAGGAGAAAACTTCTGCATATTCATATGCGTTGTTCCAGATCGAACTCCAAAGTTCAGGCATTTTGGAAATTTAGTTTCGATTATTGTCATAGAATATGTTTCTTTTGGCAAATCGAGTCGTTCGATTAATTTCCTGTACTCGGCTTCGATATCATCGTTGCAATGGTCGGCGCCCAAGTCGAATTTTTTATCCCCGTAATAAAGTTTTGTCTTTTCTGCGAGATCTGGAATTTCATGTTCCGACAAAATTCTATCGCATTTACATAGTCTGTTTAGATGGGCCCTATTTTCGTCTACAGAATCCTTCAGGAGGTCGTTTTGGTTTGCGGTGTCGTCTTTTCTCATACTCTTCATTTTTCAAAAATTACGTTGACTAAACTAGCCAAAAATTATATTAATTTAATATAATATAATTTTTAGTCTTTACGAGAAATTATTTTCCAATTTATTACTCACCTTATTCAATTAACAACAGTTTTTTTTTGCTTGGAACATGTACGGAACTTGTTGAATTTCGAAATTTTTAAATATGAAAATTACGTTAAAATTTTGGTTGTTTGTAAATTTTGACTAGAGGTTAATGGTCATAAAAACAAAAATATAAAATGAATCTGTGAAGTTGGTTCAATATGAAATTAGCTTTCCAAGTATAGCTCAAGATCGAATACATAGCGATCGACTAATTTTTAAATTATTAATACATAAATCGTAATGTTATTTTGAAATAGTTATTTCGTGTTATTGAACGTTGTAAAATTCGAAGTTTTCCTAGAAAAATAGCTAAAACAATCATTCGTTCCCAGCTCGATTAGCAACAGTAATAACATGCGTCGACGCACTACCTGAAAAAGGTTAGTTTCAACATAATTAGTAAGTGTTGGGTAAGTGTTGACCGACATATCAGAAAAAAGTCGTGCTATTCTCATAGAACAATCGTATTAAAAATAGAACGCGGCACATCGAGAAAAGATGGGCAAAGTTCGGTGTTAAAGTCATAAAGCTTTGTAAAAGATACAGAATAAATATCGAGTGTTGAGTGGAGCATAGCCGAAAGGCATTTTGGCTATATGGGCAAAGTTGAGCGAGAAATTAGCATAAATTGAATGATGAGCTGTGATTAGAAAAGCCGATAGCGCTTGCCAGGCGGACGTTGACACGCGTGCAATCTGTATGGGTATCACACCTGAAACAGGACGTGCTAGTCCTAGTTTACGCTCAGACCTCTTGACAACATTCCAATCAAATGCGCAAGGTAAACAATCGCACGATTAAAAATATAAAAATAGCCAGCGTATGATAATTCGGATTAGTAGAAATATATTAAAAATCGAATGGTGCGAGGCGTTGAACGTCTTATTAATATTGATGTCGAACATCCGTGCAGACATGCCTAAACAAACTTGTGATGGTTTTTGATTAATTTCGGCGACCGCAGAAAATCATTCTCTATTTCTACGGGAATCCATGATATATAACATAAATGCAATTGTTGTTTAGTCGAGCTGTAGTGTCGCGTATTATCCTGACATTGGTAGACTTCGGAGCGATCGATTATTTAACGGTAATTAGCAATAGAAAAACTACCGTAAGGAGTCTGAGCGAGTGTAATTTTTTTGCATCATTTACAAATAAATGCTCGCATTTGTCGGCACTTAAGCACTTGGCAAATGATACATAAATTGAAATGACGATATTGCTTACGATATTGTTCAATCGCTTATTGTTGATTGTACGATTTGACAAACAATTTTTTGTTTTCCGTCGCACAAAGCTAAATATAACGCAATTTATAGCAGCTTTGCAATGAGCGGAATTGAATTTCATCATCAGCTCAAACATAGATTGACCTTACCACTCGTACATCAGACGTAGAAACAAGATGGAGTTCAAGCGGATAGATTTTTAAAAACACTCGCGGAGAGCGAGAAAAAATAGCGTTTATAAAATTCCTCCAGTTGTGTAGAGAGAAAAAGTCGTCTATATGCTGTGCGGTATTGATAGGAGGCTGTCATAATTAGCTGGCGAGTGCGAATCCATTGATACGCAATCGTTATTGAGCCGCGATAAGGGGCACGTGGCAGCGGCCGAGACATGCGCAAAGTTCGGCCTGAAGTCGACTGCTGCGCTTACAGAGAGACGCTTCTGGCGAAGAAAAAAAAAGACGCGCGATCGGGGAAAAAACCGAGAAACGTGACAAGCGGATGCTGCTCGGGAAAGAGATTGACTTGCAACGAGATTTCAAGTAAAATCATTTGGTTGTTATTCAATATCGTGACTTTCAAGCCTCTTATGTCCAATAGCGTACAATTGCAAGGACTGCATATTAGACGCTAAAGGGCAAGAATCGTTGATTCTTAGAAAGTTTCCCGTAAGATTGGCCAAGTGCTCTTTCATAATGCTTGTGCTTCGGTTCAACTTGTTGCATATTTATAACATTAATTAATACTCGATATTAATCAGCCCCGTAGAATGCAAACAAATAACAAACAACAATAATAAAGTTTCCTTTTCATTTGAACTTGTGCGCCTTAAGCACTGTAATCGCTCTAATCGCAGAGTTGACCGAGGAGTCCTCGACACCGTTGGTATGCAATAGCAACATCAAGAAGAAAGCCAAACGCCCCAAAAAGCCAGACGCCTGTTGCCCGCCGGACATAGATAAACTTTTCCCTCAGATTAAACCTTCGATTAGCGAGCGAGAAAAGTATCTCAATATCATGCACATCGTATGCGTTCTGGAGGCAGATGAGCTGATACGAATGAAGGAAATTCAGAAGATTCGTGAACGATTAAGAGAATGCGACCAAGACGTGATTCGTAGGTCACAAGCCCATACTACATTGTCTTAGTAGAAACTGTTACACAAGCTGTTGCATTTATCAAATTACCATTGTCAGTTTGAAATCGAATGGATACTTCCTTTAAATATTTACGAAAGTCGTTTTCTAAACATACCAAATGAATAACATAGATAAGATAATATAATGTCAACCGGATTTTATCATTGAGATAAAAATATCATTAATCAGCTTAGAAGAATGTCATGCATAATTACCCTTAATACTGTACTTAATAATATGGCATCGTTGAAGAACTTTCAAAAATGATAAAAAAAATTGTACAGTTTTGTAGCTTTTTTAGCACACGTACGTAAGATACATTGCAGAACATTGACTTACTGGTATTTCAAGAACTTGCTATTATTTGAAATAAATTGAAAACAAAATATGTTTACAATAATACCGGATAATTTTTTAGACCACTATAGATTTTATCTTTAGTTTCAGGAACTGGCGATGATAAGAAAGTTGGGCAAACATCCAGTTTAACAAAATCAGTGAACAGCGAAGCAAACGATGAAGAAAATCAAGAGAAAGATCGTATTTCGGTTCGAGAAAGCAGGAGTGAGAACGTAAATCATGGCGCAAAATTAAAAATGACAGCGGGCAAGTTTACCAAGATCGAATGCAGCTCGATATGCTCGTTCGACAGCGAAGTGGATTTAACTGGTGCGTTTTTAGGCAATTGAAGTTGAAAATTCAAGAAAGATCGTAATGAAATTAATAACGCCATTTTTCAGGTCTACACTTGACAAAGGAAGACGTGAGACAGATAGAAGAAGATCGAGAACGTTTACGCCAACGGCAAAAATCGGAATGCGAAAGCGAACATACCGACGGCGAGGAGTAGTGCTTCGTATCGATCAAAGTTCATAAAGCAAAAAACTTTTGAAAAAATAGTATAAAGATATGCACAAAAAAAATAGAAAAACATGATTTTATCTGAGAATTGTTGAAATGAATCGAGCAATAAAACAGCACTAAGCGGAGATTGATCGTGGTTGAGGCGACAATAGCCTCCATTTTGGGTAAGATGCCAATAATGACAAAGCAGGGTTTGGCGGGTGTGCAATTGGCCGCAAAAGAGAAGCTCGCAAAGGCTGGCAATAACATAAACACGTGGAAAACGAGGCGAGCAAAAAATCGCGCACGTTTTGTTCTTCATCCGGGCGGGCTTCGCTCCCCCAGACCCAAATAGATAACAGTCGAGCGCACGACCACACTTTGTCATTCTTATAGCTACTGGCTGGTAGCGCTCGGGCGTACAGCTATACTCGTCTCGTCACTCCTCCGTCCTCCTTCTTATCACGACGCTATACGTTTGCCCCTGCTCTAAGCTCGGCCATCTATTTCTCTCTCTCTCGCTCTTATCGGCGCCGCGCGGCGATTTCTTATAATCGAAAAATCCGTGGTCGCTCGCCACAGTACCTCGGTGCGCATCGAATGCACAAGCTCCACGTGCAACTTTTCTTTTTTCAGTTCTACTTTGAACTCCGTTCTCTCGTTCGCTGCTTTTCCTTTGCCACCAAACGTTATTGTTTGCCAATTACTTTTCGTCGATAGTTTCGGCTTTTTTGCGAATGTCATCGAGTGACTTCTCCATCAGTGACGACATTCAAAACTCTTGCCATTATTACATGACGCCGTTTAACTATTGCTACAGTTAATGCTCAACTCATACGCAAATCGACTGTTTCTTTCGATAGATAACTTCTGTAAGTAACAATTGGTCGCGTGTCAATTGAGTTTTATGAGAAATTGAGTCTTCGAGGAGGACACCATGAGGAACTTATTGTGCTTTGCGGGGTTAGCTAAGTGTGAGTTGATTCATCTTATTTTTTTGTCTTATAATAACTGGAGAAATACATTGCCAATGGCAATCGATTGAGATATTGAAATATTTATGGATAAATTGCTACGACTTTACACTCACTGAATGGATACTTATTTATCCATATTTTTCAAAACAAAGCCATCTATTATTATTTTCGATTATATACTTATCTCCTGAATAAAATAATATACGATTTATTTTATTAAAAATTGTATCAGTTATAGTAAATCAATTCAGAATCGTAGAAAAAATAGATTATAAAAAAAGTTTTTCAATTTTCTGAGTCAATTGTTGAATGAGAATGAATTTTCTTTAATCGAGAAATTTTAAAAGTATTATCAATTTAACAATTTCATTTGCTATTGTGTTCATTTTAAGAATTTTGTTGTTGTTGTTGCTGAACGATCTACGTATCAATCTAATTCGTGTCAATTGTAAGCTTTTCAATTTCACATTTTCTTTCTTTTATTTTTTCATTTCGATTTTTAATCGAACCTATCAAAGATTGCGCGTATTTTTATCAATACAAGCTATATCGAATAAAATTATAGAATGAGTTTATATTAAAAAAGTGACTTATTCGTTAGCATATTTTTTGTTGTTCTGAAACAAACAGAATAAAAATATAATTACTGTCCATCGTGGAAGCCGTTGAGTTAATAATTCAATTTGACGTAAAG